GCCGCATGTCTCGGTCGTCACCTCAAAAGTGTGTTGCGACAAGCTGCGATGTGTCCGTCTCCCGTCTCTGTCGCCTGCCTCGGTCGCTTGTCTCTGTCGCGTGCAGCCAAATTGTACCTTAATACCGACTGACGTGGGCAACAAGTTGAAACATAGGTCAATACCGACCATTTTTCAGTTTTTAAGAAGTCAGTTTCTAACGCAAAAAAAACCACGTGCCTCCATAACAATTTGGTGCTGTTCAAGAACATAATCGTTGTTTATTGAGAATCATACGAGACCCATAAATACACCCTGTGGGCAAAATGGAGACTTATTATTGTTAACATACTGGCAGTGGCTTTGCTTGAGTAATCTCCCAATGTCAGGTTTAATTAAGTATTACTTTTCCTACTCAAATGCAATCCTCCAAGTGTTTGATCAGCTAGACGGGTCCTCGTTCTTGATTTAACATTTGCCATTGCTCGGTAGAAGTTCACAGCGAAAAGGCGGCATTTCTTACATGCAGGTCCGTGGAACTAAACCTCCACACCCCACAAATCTTCATGAAGTGATCCTTAATTAAACACTGGGGCCAACGTTATACATTTGCCGGCATCAAGAATCAAAAATCAAACATAAATAAAACTACTGAACAGCCTACCTGCGGCACTCAGCGAACAAGATCGCTAGGAATTACTTTTTATAACCGTCACTGACCACAAACAGCAGCAGAAGCCACGAGCTGGCCTTTTCACGCCCAAGGTAAATGTGCTTCCCTCGGTAACGCTGTTTGTGTTTCTAGAAATGAGCTCAACGAAGAAACACAGAAACAAGCAGCATCATTATCTAGATCCGTTGTGTACGGTTGAGAAATCCCGCCCACTAGGCCAGAAACACTGTCTTCACAGAAAGAGAAGCGGCCATCCGATCCATCCCTGAGGTCATGACCCAACGGGGTTGTCCAAAACGGAAAAAAAAACCCACAGAGCTACCGCCTAAACACATTTATTTATTTATTTAGTGTTCTGTCTGACGACAGGTCCATATGAACAGGATCCTTCCATCCTTTTATCGGACTGGGACCTGTTCATACACGTTCTTGGCAGATGATCCAGAAGTGGTTTGCCATTGCCTTCTTCTGTGTGTGGGATGCCACGGAGAAACCGGGGAAGCCCCCGGAGGAAAACTCCGTGTTGCCTAGACCACGGCTTTGCCCAACACAAGTTATAAATTCTGGCACCGCCGGGAATCGAACCCGAGACCCCAGGATTACAAGGCCAGCGTTCTAACGGCTAGACCACCGTGGCCATCCCTAAACACATACACGTATGTAATCAAATTACATCTTGTTCGAAATACGCTAAAAACTGCACCGTGGACATCCTCAAACAATCTGGAATGGAATCTCGTGACCAAATGAACGACAATTACCCACTAAACAGAAGCTCAAATTAATTGTTACTTTAACAAACGAACCAAATCTGCGAGGCAGTGAAATTATATACGGAATATATTTACGGTTAACAAAATCGACATTACGGAACATCTGGATAAATTAAGGCTACGTTCACCACGTACCAGACTACAGATCACAAGGAAGAGTTTTCAACTGCAGATTTTGAGGAAAGCGGGATTTAGGAAGACCGTGAATAGATGGTTTGGACGGTTTGTGTAACGCCAGAACGGGTATAATGAGCCTAAAACGTTCGAGCAAGTAAGAAAGAATAACATGCGTGTAATTTAAACGATAATGTGCCCACTTCGATCTACAATAAGCGTGACTTCTTTTGGAACATCCGGTGGAATGACGTGGAACTGACAATCACGAGTCTTATCCCCGGGGGGCACGTGTTCTCTAGAATTTGTGAAACCGGCTTCAGAAGTCCCTAAAGGCTTGCGGCCGACAGCGGACTGCTGCAACTTCAAGAGCGTTTCCATGTTTACCATCACGAACCAGGCTTTAACAGCCGTGAAAACCCCAAACCTCGTGCCAAACTTCTCATAAACTTACAATGGCATCTGAAACAGAAACTACTTGTGTTGCATTCTCTACAAATGTGCAGTGGAGAGAAGTTTCTTCTCCTGATAAACTGGCAAAATGTTTTGCACAAACGCAACCAACCAAACATTCAGAACTTCGGATTAATGACCAAGTTCAATCTGTATCGACGAGTGCTGTATATTACGCTTCATTGCCAAAAGAATTACCCTCTGCATACCCAGAATTCGTCATGCTACTTACGCGCCAGTCGTCGTTTTCCGAAAATCAAAGCACAATAAACCCTCAAAAAAAAACCCAGTCTGGATACCCGGCCTCCGGGCCGAGATTTCAACCCGGGACGTCCCAAATACGAAAGCGTGCTAACCAGTCAACCAAGACGTTCGGTCACCCGAACTACAGAACACATTTGTGCGTAAATATATTTTCAAATCGTAGTTAATAAAAAAACAAGAAAACTTAACACAAATATGACAAAAAATACAATTTTATAAAAAACGTTTTTTCTTTCAAATCTCCGTTGTGCATAAATAAAATGTACAATCACATACAAAAGACAGAAAACAGTCAACATTAACGAGGATTTACTGTAACGCGCGGCTGAATGGGACTATGTCAATTTGTGTTCCACTGGACGCACTCCGTTGCGTCTCTTAATCAACTGACAACGTTCGAACCGAGATGGACATTCTATTTCCAGAGAAATGTTCCGCGTGAGTGTACAGCGTCAGACGTGGTAACTTATTACCGCTACATGGTTCGTGTTTTCAGAGGTTTAACGTCAATCAAGGCTACAAGGTCATCCACGGTCCATCAAACTGACATCATCGACCAGCACAGCGGATGACAATAACTTCCAAGATCTCGCCGATTGCACGGTCTGATACTGATGCAAGTACCAATCAAAACTACACGCATAATTTTAGGATCATGGACAAAATGAGGGCCAATGACGTCAGAGTCGGGGATGCTACCATGTGGGGTTCCCCACTTAGTCACGACAACGCATGTAGGTCTTTAATGAAGCACCTGTAATTGTCAGATGTCAACCAAAACTGGAATGTGTCGAGATTTTAGCAAATCCCAAGATAAGATTTCACGTAAATATTTTAGGC